CAAGGAACGCCAGGACCTGGAAGCGAGCCTCGCGGAGCGTCACAAGAACGAGCTCGCGGCCCGGGACGCCGCCCACGCCGAGGCAGTTGCGGGGCTCCAGTCGCAGCACGACAGCAAGGTCGCGTCGATGCAGGAAGGCCACGCGGCCACTCTCGCGTCGGCGACCGAGATGCTCGCTCTGGAGAAGGACCACGATCATAGCAGCGCGCTCGTGGCTGCTCTCCGCGCCCGCGACGACGAGCACGCGAAAGCGATGGAGGGTCGCGAGAAGGAGCTCGCCGAGAAGCACGCCGCAGCGCTCGCCGAGCAAAAGGCGTCGCTGTCCGGCGCCCACGAGAGTAGTCACGCGGAAACCGCCGCGCGACACGAGGACGCCATGGCGACGCTGCAGCGCAAGCACGAGACGGAGCTCCAGTCCGCGACGGCTACCCTCGAGGTCGACAAGGACCGCGAGCGCCTCGAGGCCGTCCGTGAACGTGACGCGGCCCACGCCAAGGAGCTCCAGGACCTCGAAGCGAGCTTCGTCGAGCGGACCCGGAGCGAACTCGAGGCTCGAGATGCCGCGCACACGAAGGCGCTCGCGGAGTTGCAGATGCAGCACGAGAACAAAGTCACATCAATGCAGGACGGCCACGCGGCTTCGCTGGCATCGGCGACGGAGATGCTCGCGCTCGAGAAGGACCACGATCACAGCTCGGCGCTCGTGTCCGCGCTCCGCGCTCGCGACGACGAACACGCCACCGCCATGGAGGCCCGCGAGAAGGAGTTCGCCGAGAAACACGCCGCGGCACTGTCCGACTTGCAAGAGAGACACAAGAGCGACCTCAGCTACCTCAAGGAGAATCACGAAGGGGAACTCGCCACCGCCGTCGAGTCGGCGGCGTCGGAGAAGGATCGCCACATGCGGTCTGCGCTCACCGCGCAGAGCCAGGAGCACGACACCGCGCTCGCTCGAGCCATCGCCGAGCGCGAGGCGGAGCTCAAGGCCCTCCACGAGACCGAGCTCGACGCGCGAGCCGATGTTCACGCCCGAGCCGTCGAAGCCGCCGACGACGCTCACGCCCGAGCCGTCGAAGACGTCCTTCTGGCGGCGCAGAAACAGGCTGCGCGAGATGAAGCGAGCTTGCAGGAGACGCACCGGGCCGAGCTGGCGGCCGAGCAGGAACGGCACCAGGAGATGCTCTCCCAGGCCGCCCACGAGTACGACGCGGCGGTCAAGGCGACGCTGAGCGAGAAGGACGAAGAGCACGCCAAGCTCCTCGCGGACGCGGAGTCGAGCCTCTCCGCTTCGGCCGCGTCCCAGCTGCGGGAGGCGGACGAGAGCCGGCGCCTCATGGCGCTTCGCGCGGCGTCGACGATGGCAGACAGCGTCCTGACTCGAGGCTCGAAGCACGGCGTCCTCCGGAGCTTCCGCGTCTGGGCACTGTACTCTCGTCTGTCGGGGGCCGCGGCGTCCAAGGACGTCGACCACGACGTCGCCTTGCGCTCCGCGGTCACGCAGACGCGCAAGGCGTTGATGCGGGCGGGCGGCATGAACGCCATGGCCAAGGCCGCGAACCACCTCTTCCGCTACCGACGGCATCGCGCCTGGACCCGATGGCGCGAGGCGACTTTCGCTCACAGGGACCAGGAGGCACAGCGGTCCTTGGCCGACTCGCACGAAAAGGACCGCGCCGCCGCGAGAAGCGAGCATACTATGGCTCTCGCCGACGCGGTCAATACAGCCGAGACCGAGAAGGAGCGACAGCATGCGGCGGCGCTGGAGGCTGTGCTGAAGCAGAAAGAGGAAGAGCTCGCCGCGGCCCTCAAGGCTCAGACCGACGCTTTCGAAGCGGAGCTCGAATCGCGCGAAGCCGAGATCCTCGCGAAGCACAAGGCCGCCTTGAAGGAGCAAGCGGACCGACAGGCCGCGGAGATCGACGAGGCTCTGGCGGCTCACAGGCAGCAGCAGGATATGCTTCGATCCAAGCACGAGACCGAGCTTGCGTCGGCGACGGAGATGCTCGCGCTCGAAAAGGATCACGACCACAGCGCAGCGCTCGTGTCCGCGCTGCGGTCCCGGGACGACGAACACGCCGCGGCGATGGACTCGCGCGAGAAGGAGCTCGCCGAGAAGCACGCGGCGGCGCTCGCCGAACAAAAGTCGTCGCTGTCGAGCGCCCACGAGGCCGCGTTGGCGGAGGTTCACGGCCAGCACGCCGAACAACTCGCGGCCCAGCAACGCAAGCACGAGGCCGACCTCCAGTCGGCGACGGCGACCCTCGAGGTCGACAAGGACCGCGAGCACTCGTCGCGGCTGACCGACGCCATGAGGAGCCGCGACGACGCCCACGCGAAGGAACGCCAGGACCTGGAAGCGAGCCTCGCGGAGCGTCACAAGAACGAGCTCGCGGCCCGGGACGCCGCCCACGCCGAGGCGGTCGCGGGGCTCCAGTCGCAGCACGACAGCAAGGTCGCGTCGATGCAGGAAGGCCACGCGGCCACTCTCGCGTCGGCCACCGAGATGCTCGCGCTCGAGAAGGACCACAGCCACAGCTCAGCCCTCGCTGCGGCCCTTCGCGCCCGCGACGACGAGCACGCCAGCGCCATGGAGAGTCGCGAGACGGAGCTCGCCGAGAAGCACGCCGCGGCGCTCTCGGACCTGCGGTCGTCGTTGGCCGCCGCGCACGACGCCGCCGCCGCCGAGACCGCCAAGGACCACGAGGAGGAGCACGCGGCGCGACAGCGCAAGCACGAAGCGGAGCTCGCGTCGGCCACGGAGATGCTCGCGCTCGAGAAGGACCACAGCCACAGCTCGGCGCTCGTCGCGGCGCTGCGCGCTCGGGACGACGAACACGCGAAAGCGACGGAGGACCGCGAGAAGCAGCTCGCCGACAAGCACGCGGCCGCGCTCGCCGAGCAGAGGCAGATCCACGAGGCCGACGCGCAGTCCGTCGTCGAGGTGGCGAAGGCCGAAAAGGATCGCGAGCACTCGACGAAGCTCGCGGCCGCGCTCCGGGAGCGCGACGAGGCCCACGCGAACGAGAGCGAGGCGCTCAAGTCCAGCCTGAAGGACTTGCATCGGAGCGAGCTTGGCTCCCGAGACGCGGCGCACACCGACGCCGTCAACGAGATCAACGACCGGCACAAGAGCGACCTCACGTATCTCAAGGAGAATCACGACGCGGAGCTTTCCGCGGCCGTCGAGTCCGCCTCGTTGGAGAAGGATCGGCACATGCGCTCGGCTTTGACGGCTCAGAGCCAGGAGCACGACGCGGCACTCGCTCAGGCCATCGCCGAGCGCGAGGCGGAGCTTCGGGCTCTGCACGACCAGGAGCTTGCCTCGCGCGGCGATGCCCACGAGCGAGCGACCGAGTCGGCCGCCGAGGCTCACGCGCGCGCGCTGGAAGAGGAGCGCAGGCGTGCGGCGGGAGAGCTGCAGTCTGAGAGGGCGACGATGGACACGCTCCATCGTGCCGAGCTAGAATCAGAGGCCGAAAGGCACAAGGAGACGCTCTCCCAGGCCGCGTTTGAGTACGAGCAGGCTGTCAAGGCGACGCTCATAGAAAAGGACGAGGAGCACGCCAAGCTGCTGGCGGACGCCGAGTCGAGCCTGTCGGCTTCGGCCGAGGCGCGCCTGCGGGAAGCGGACGAGCTTCTGCGTTTTACGGCGTTCCGGGCGGCGTCGAAGATGGCCGACGGTGTCCTCACTCGCGGCGCGATCCAGGGCGTACTTCGCAGCTTCCGAGTGTGGGCGATGTACACCCACATGGCCGGTGTGGCCTCTGCCAAGGAGGTCGACCACGACGTCGCCCTGCGCGACGCGGTCACTCATACCCGCAAGGCGTTGATGCGGGCGGGCGGCATGAACGCCATGGCCAAGGCCGCAAATCATATCCTCCGCTACCGTCGGCATCGCGCCTGGGCCAGGTGGCTCGCCCAAGCCCATCTAGAAAGACATCTTCTGTCCGCTGCGACGAAGCATGCGGCGGCCGTGGACAGGGCCGTCGACAGCGCCGAAACGGAGAAAGATCGTCTGCACGATGCAGCGCTTCAGTCGCGCGAAGACGCATATGAAGCCGAGCTCAAGGCGAGGGCCGAAGCTCACGCGGCCGAGCTCCAGGCGAAGGCAGACGCTCACGCTGCCGAGCTCGAAGCCAAAGCCGACGCC